AGAGAGGAGAAATGACTTGTCCAAGGCACATCAAAAACTGATGGAGACAGCGAATGCCAGGCCTCTGGCCGCCCACCCTGTGCTTGTAACCAGGGACAGGGACAGCCCTTCTGTGACCAGGAGAGCCTTCATAGAGAATCAGAACCGAGGGGCAACATTCCCCTCACCATAGGCAGGCTCCCCTTCGCACCCCAGCTCACCCGGGCTGTGGGCCTCAAAATGAAGCTGCTCCTGTCCAGGCCACCAGGGGTGCTGACACATGGTAGCCATGTGCCAGGTGAAGGCCTCTGCTGCCAAGTTCAGCATCAAGCAAAGACCCCAGACTCACAGGCCAGCGAGCTCCTTAGGAACAGGTCATTAGGGGCGCCTGGGTGGCTCAGCTGAGTGTCTGCCTTTGGCCCACATTGTGATCCTGGGGTCCTGGGATTGAGCCCCATGTCAGGCTCCTGGCTCAGTGTGGAGTTTATTTCTCCCTCTCCCTCTGCCCCTCCCCCTACCTGTGCTCGCTCTCTCTCTCTCAAATAAATAAAACCTTAAAAAAAGAAAAGGAACAGGTCATTACATTAGGTCCAGCCTGGTGATATCCACAGGCCACCTGGGGAAAAGTCCACTCAGTGGCATTGAGTATATTTGGACCTGAGTAGGAGCTTTTTGTTTGTTTGCAAATGGCCAAGAAATGACTTCTTTACCACCCTGGGGACTACAGCCAGCCAGCCAGCCACCCAGCTGCCTCCCGCTGTCTGACATGCTTTGTTACAAATCACTGATTTCTCACCATTGGGCAGCATGATTCCCGCCATTGCCCACGCTTCTGATGGGAATTGTCTGTTCCACATTATTTATGTAAATGAATGTGCAGACAAACCCCAGACTCCTGGAAAGGGCATCTTGCTGGTAAGCAGGCACTGGAGAGAGCTGGCTGGGCATCAGAGCCCCAGGCTGGCACGGTTGGGGTCTACTGGTGGGTGTGCCTCCTCCTGGGTGAAGCACCCATGACCACTGCTCCGTTGGCAGCTAGAGCGGTCAAGGCAAGGAGGGCTTCTTGCTGGAAGGGAACATGTGGCTGGTGGAGACAGAGGGCTCTTAGTCGAGCCCTGGGAGTCGGCCTGTCCAAGCCTCTGTCTCCCCATGTGTGAAATGGGTAGCACCCCTGCTTGCAGCACAGACATGGCTTGCAGGCTTCTCGGATTCTGGGTCCAAGAGGATGTTTGTATTGGGCTAATGGAAGTTTTGCAGGACAAGGGGGTGATGTGCTAGCAATGATCCCAAAGCTGCCCCTGGCTTCATTCGCCCTAGGGGCCCAGCAGCCCAGCGGGACTGCACAAGGATGGTGCCCAACCTGGCTTACCACCTTTGGGGCCCTCAGCGGCGGCTCTGACCCATAACACCAAGTGGGCAGAGTCACGAGGCAACTGGGTGGCAGGGGGGACCCCACCCAGGCCAGGGAGGAGAAGAATGGGGCCATAGCTGGTGTCCAGGCCATGTACACCCACCAGGGTGGGGGGGCAGGGGAGGCCCTAAAGGCCAGACTGAGGGGCTGGGACTTTATCCTGGCGCAGGGTGCATAGCCAGACATATGCTGCAGGAAGGTGAACAGGGTATGGGGGTGGGAGAAGTCAGGGGAGCTTCCAGGAAGAAGGGGCCTTCAGCAAGGCTGCAGAGGGTGAGCAGAACATAGAGAGAGGAGGAGGGAGGCCCTAGAGGCTGGGCGGGGACCCATGGCACTCATTCCTCCCATACTTACACTCGTGCAGTTTCGAGAGTTACCGCCCAAAATAGCACGTTCCTTTTTCAATGATCCATACTTTGAGGTGTCAGGACACTTCTCTGCCCACTTGGGAGGCAGAAGTGCACGTGCCACAGTGACAGCACCATGGGCGCCCAGTCCCCCCTGTAGCACCAGGGCCCCACCCTGCCCACACGTCACCTCCTGGGTTTGGCTCCTCAGCAGAGGGGCCTGGCACAGCGGCACCCCATGTGGGCCATGAGCACCCCGGGAGCAGAAGGGGATGACAGGTGGAGTATAGCATCTAGGCCAGTGCTTCTCGAGCTCTGAAGCTCGTGTGTGTTTCTTTAAGCTCGTACCCGGTCGGTGCGTTCCCCAGGCTGTGCTGAATCCTGCCTGGCAGCGCCTACACAGGCACGGTGTCTACACAGAGGTTTTGTGGTTACTCTTTGATGCCCATCATCTCCCAGGTGTGTAAATAATGGCCAGTGTGGTTACCCATGGTTTGTCCCCAGGAAGAGAGAGAAGCAGGAAACCTGAGCCCCCAAAAGCCAGGAAAGCAAGAGGAGCCCCAGGAGTGGACAAGGGCCCCACGATGAGGGAGACTCCTGTTCTGTGGTCTTAGGCAGTAGCGATCCTTTTGAGTATTTGCAAGGGACTGCCAAGGGCATGGTTGCCCTGTAAGGAAAGTGCCCGAGTTCCCAGATTTCCAAGTAAGGAACATAAGGCTCAGAAAGGTGTCTGGGGTCCAAAAAGCCTGCCAAGAGCTGTCTGTGGGGTGGAGGTTCACATGGGACAGGAAGGTCAGTCGGGGCTGACATCGGGAACCTGGGATGTGTGCTGAGCAGGACGGGCAGCCGAGCTGGCCATGAGGTGGGAGGGGAAATGTGGCCTGTTGACAGCTCCGGTGCCACACAGGGCCTGCCCTCAAGGGGCTGACCAGCAGAGGCCTCAGTGCTGGCCAGCACACGTGCACATGCACTGTTTCAGCATGTTGGGGATGTCCTCCTGCCCCTCCGCTTCCCAGACTCCACAGCCTGCCCAGAGCTGCTGGGCTTGGGCCGGGTATAAGAGCTCCCCTGGCTTTCCCCCCAAGTGACGCAGCAGATACCCATTCTAGGACCCTGGCCATGTCCTGGCTCCTCTGCCTGACTCCCACTCTGTGAACCGCAGCTCCCGTACTCAGGGCCCAGCCCTGGGCACTGGCCTGCTAGGTCCAACCTGCTGTTGGCCAGCCCATCCTGCTCTGAGTCCTGGGCCCCTCTCTGGGCTCTGTCACCTGGCATGAGAGCTGGGGCCTGTCACTGGCCCTTAGGGCATGCTCAGCAAGTATCTGCTCAATGAATTAATGCGTGCATGGTAATGACCGCATCTGTTATTTATCTGATGTGAAATTTGGGGTCAGAAGCACAGCCCCTGATTATGACATCATTCCTAAGAGAATTGATAGCTCTGTAAGGCTTTACAGTGTGGCTTCCAGGAATCCATTAGAGCTAATTACTCCCCAGTAGAATGTGACATTCCTAGACCACCACTTATCTCACATTTGGGAACATTGTGTGGCTCTTCCAGGCTCTACTGGGACTGGGGATCCTGCATCTTGTTTCTGCAGAAAGGTCACCACCACCCCCCCTTTTCCCAAAACCTGAAACCACTCACTTTCCAGAGTTTCTGGTATTCCTGAGCTCATTCTAAACAAGGCACAAGATTGGTTTTGGAAAACACAATCTTCAAGGTGTATATGGAATCTCAGGGCAGCTTCTCTGAGGTGGGAGAGTAATGACAAGTACCTCTGAGCATCCTCTCCCCACTCAACCTGGTTCCTTCTCAGCACTGACGCTGTTAGATTGTGTACCTCGGACAATTCAGGATCCCCGGGAGAGCAGGGTTTCACTGAGGCATCCTCCTGGACACGCCCATCTGGGGTGACCTCACTTAGGCCAACAGTGCTGCGCATCCACACTGCAGTGAGCCTGAGCTCCTGGCTGTGGAACTTGGAGCACATTTCCTGCCTCCTCAAGCCTCAGTTTCATCATCTGTAAATTGGGAATAGGAAGGTGCAAGCCATGGCCACACCATCAGCACCAGCTGCGACTTCCTTCATCATTATTACCACATGACTCGTGATATAATCTGGTCAGAAAGTCCTTAAATCCGACAACTCAGATCTAAACTAAACTAGTTGCGGGCTTTGTTCGGACATTTGGCTTGTTCGTTTTATTTTAAAATGAGGGGCAGCTTTCGCCATAGTAACTCACCAGCAGTCCTTTTGGAAGCTAGAATTGTCAGTTGTGTGTGGAAACGGTGGGCTTGGGAGTCAGACAGATGCTTTATGTTCCTTAAAAACTCAGTCACTACAACCCATTTAAGGTCCTCAGAAAGAAGGGGGTAGGGGCACCTGGGTGGCTCAGTCGTTAAGCGTCTGCCTTCGGCTCAGGTCATGGTCCCAGGGTCCTGGGATCGAGCCCCGCATCGGGCTCCCTGCTCAGCGGGGAGTCTGCTTCTCCTTCTTCCCCTCCCCCTGCTTGTGTTCCCTCTCTCGCTGTGTCTCTCTCTGTCAAATAAATAAATAAAATCTTTAAAAAAAAAAAAAGAAAGAAAGAAAGAAGGGCGTAAGTAAAGGCCAGTGCCACTGGGGTCACCGAGCCTCCTGGGCCACTGTCCTCACATGAGCCCAATGTCCTGGCCGGGGCAGAGGGCCCGGAGCCTTCCCCAACTCTCTAGACTGGAGCCTTTGGTTTTGGAAGCACAGGCTCTCTGCTCACAGATCTGGCTGAGGGCTGACGGTACCATGTGACAGGACCGAGGCTTGGAGGACGGGCCAGAGCTGCCGGCCGGGCAGGAGGCTGGCCATGCTCACCTTGAGGGAGACGTGATGGCAGCTCGGGGGCCGTGAGCTAGCACAGGACAATAGGAGATGGGGCCCTCAGCTATGAGTACCTAGTTGCCCGGGTCCCTGCTGCCGAGGGAGGCTGTGCAGCAGGCCCAAGCCACAGAGGAAGGTCCGGTGAAGCAGGACAGCCCCTTACAAAGAAGTGTCAGGGTGCCAAGGGCGGTGCCAACCACTCCCCAGAGCCCGTGGGAGGCAGGTGAAGACAGACTTGGCTGACAGGGGAAGGACTTCCCAACAGAAGGGTGACATTTCCAGGGCCAGTGCCGGGCTGGGAGACCCTGCCGCGGGGTGGAGGGGGTGGCTTCCTCCCAGAAGGGCTGCAGGCCTCGAGCCTTTCCACGCTGCATCCCCTGATTAACACCAGCATTTTCCTGCCTGCAGAGTCGAATGGCAGAGAGCCTGCGCCTTTTTGACTCCATCTGTAACAACAACTGGTTCATCAACACCTCACTCATCCTCTTCCTGAACAAGAAGGACCTGCTGGCGGAGAAGATCCGGCGCATCCCGCTCACCATCTGCTTCCCTGAGTACAAGGGCCAGAACACCTACGAGGAGGCCGCCGTCTACATCCAGCGGCAGTTCGAGGACCTGAACCGCAACAAGGAGACCAAGGAGATCTACTCCCACTTCACCTGTGCCACCGACACCAGTAACATCCAGTTTGTTTTTGATGCGGTGACAGACGTCATCATACAGAACAATCTCAAGTACATAGGCCTTTGCTGAGGAGCCGGGCTGGCCGGTTTGCCTGTGGTGAAACCCCTGGGGTGTCACACCCCCACTCGTGCTAGGGAGACCCAGCCCAGGGGCAGAAAACGGGGGGCCTGATGAATGTCCCCCCCGCCCCTCCACCTCCTTGGCCCCCACGTTTCCGCAAACATAAATATATACGGATAGATTGCTAGGTAGGTAGACACACACACATGCGCACACACACAGTCTGGAAATGGCCAAGTTCCCCAAAGCGTTGGAGCCTCTTGAAGACTTAAGCAGCTGTCACCAAGTTCACTACAAGCCCTTCCTGCCCCTTCACCTTGCCTTCCCGAGTTGGCCCCGCTCTGCATGGGGTTCCCCATGGGACTATGAGGAGAGGCGGCTGGGTCATCTGGAGGAAGCCAGCTCTGCCCAAGCCTCGGACTGGGGACCTTGCTGCTGACCAGGAGGGAGGACCAGAGCAGGGTCCGTGCGCCTTCCCTGCTGGCCACGCCCACCGCTGGCCTACTCTGTACCACATTTGTTCTGGAACCAGGGTGCGAGGCCAGATGACAGCACTAACCAGACCTCTAGCCACTCACAGCTCTTTTTAAAACAGCTTCAAAATATGCAGCAAAAATCCACACAATAACATGAGTGGCACGATTTGTTTCAAACTAGGCCAGCTGGGTTCCAGCTTTTCTTCTACTAGTCTGATGTTTTATAAATCAAACCCTGGTTTTTCTTCTCTGACATCTTTTTTTTTTTTTTTTTGGCCAAATCTCGTGGTGTTTCGCAGAAATACGGAAACTTTCAAATGCAGTTGAGTATTCTTTTTTAAAATGCAGATTTTCAAAACATTTTTTTTTTTTTCAGGTGGTCCTTTTTGTGTCTGGCTTGCTGAGTGTAAAAGTTGTTATCTGGATGAATCTGTCCCTCTGCTCCCGAGCGACACTGGGGCGGATGGCCGCCCTACGGCAGCCTCGCGGGGCCGCGTTGTACATAAGCCCGTGCAGCGTCCTCCTGTTACCGGTGCGGTTTCTGCTTCGTTTTTATTTCAGAAAATAAATGTGATGTATTTAAAGAAGGTTCTTCACCTAGGAGCGAATGAACAATAGCTAAATGTCTTGGTATTTAAAGAGTAAATTATTCGTGGCTTTGCAAGTGGAGGAAGGGGAAGCGAGAGATGGGGCCCCGGCCCCTGCACGTTCTATACCTGAGACCGGCTGAGAGCCACTCCAACTCCTGTGAAGGCTCAGCCGGCGTTGTAGCCTGAGGGAGTCCCCGCTGGGACCTTGCACTCTGGCCCTGCCTGGCCCGGGGCCTGTGGCACCCGCCACCACAGAAGGACCTTGGCCCAGGGCCGCATGTAAATATGAAACCCCCGCCGTCAAGAGGGAAGGCACCGCCAGAGCCCTTGCCAAATCTCCTTTCCTCTCAGCCTCTGTTCGGTACCTGTATGTCCAAGGTCAGTGTGTGGAATCACAACCAAGGACTTTAAGAGATGTACAGAGGGAAAGAGGAGCTGGTGATTGTATGAAAGTTAAAGATTGTCTACTTTAAGAAAATAAAATAACCTGAATGAGCTGAGCCTTGTCCTGCCATGCTGTGAGGGCGTGCGGCTGACTGGCGGGAGGGTGCCCCGAGCCACCATCCGTGCCCACCTCGCCTTTTTCTCTCCCCTGATCCACACATTCAGGCACAATCACTTTGAAATGAACGTCAAGAATAAACAACCTCAAGCGAGGAAAGAAACTGCAAGGGTTGGGGGAGGGGGCTGCCAGGCCCATGTGTCTGGAGGGGTTGAGGTTTGGGGGAAATGATGGTTCCAAGACCCCCGCCCAGCACTGGCCCAGGCTACACCATCACCCAGACCCCTCACAGCCTAAAGACACCTCTGCCAGGGTGCAAGAGGTGGAAAGTCTGGAGGGTGTCGACAGAGCCTAACAGTGAGGGTGGGGTCCTTGCAGGGCCATGGGGAGGAGGGGTCCCCCCATGGTCCTGCTGTCTGCTGACTCTGGCTTGTGTGGTTAGGGTTATCTCCATGTGGTGGAAGGCACTAATTAGGAGTCAGGCAAGTTTGTTCACCCTGCACCAGGCACCTTACAGATTATTTTAACACCTCTACAGTGGCAGATTGTCAGCTGTGACCCGTTTTACAGATGAGGAAAGGTGCTCAAGGTCAAGGTCAGGGACTGGGGGAGCAGAGAGGCAAGTGTTTCCCCAAGCCTGGGGTTCTTGCCTGGCTCTGCTCCTGATCACTTTGCACCCAGACACGATCCCACAGGGAGCACAGAGCCACCCTGAGCCTCCTCCTCAAATCCAGGACCTACACAAAGCTCTGAGTGAGGACCAGCAGTTGGAGACACACGCATGCGCACATGTGGATACACATTACAGAGACACACATACAGATCGGGCTCTCTCTCTCCCCTACCCCTGAGCCCTCGTGGGGATTCCTTTCACGCCTTCCCACATCACCAAACAGCAAAAACCCAAGGGGACTTTTAAGAAGACATAGCGTGTGACTTAAAATTTTTGAGACTTATTCTACACTTTTAATGCCAACTGTGAAAAGAGCAGTAATTTCACCATGAGCATCCTTCACCTAAAAATACACAGCTAGAAGGAAAATAGGAGGATTCTGCCTTCCCTCCTGATGCGCTCAGGGATGGGAGGTGGCTTCCCTGGGCCAGCGCTCCCGGTTCCTGGAGCCCAGTCAGCCAACTCTCGCAGGGCCCCGCTCTCCACCGCAATCTGTCTGCACTGCTTTTTTTCCTTTTAAACTTCCTCTGTGATCCGCTACAGGAGCTGCCCCTCCCTGCCTCATTTCACTGACACCTCTGACAAGTATGTTTCCTATACTCTCCTCTTCCGCAACATTGCAGAGACTGTGCATTCAGTGCATTTTATTTTTCATTTCACACGTTGCCTGTTTTTATTGAAGTATAATTGGCATTCCATCCTATTAGTTTCAGGTATTCCACATAGTGATTCAGTACTTTTACATATGTTATGAAATGATCCCCATGATAAGTCTACTCACCCCCCGCCCCATCTGTGCTGCTTCTTCCTCTCATGGGCCTGCTACAACCCCCTTTTGCTCTGCTCATCATGCTGACGTGCCTTCCCCTGTCCTCGCTGTCCAAGATGGTCTATCCCTCGGGGCCCAGCCTGCTGGGTGTTGGAGGTCCCCTCCCTCCCACGCTCCACTGCATAAAGCACCCATGCCAGGGCAAGGTGGGAAGCAGACCTGGCCCTGTCTGACCCTTCTTCCTCCACTGTGCGCAAACAGTGCCCAGTATGGAGAAGGCACCTGCTAAGCTAAAGGTCCAGGAAAGGTCCACCGATGGTGGCATCAGCCAGAGGGGAATGAGCTCTGGGACCAGCAGCAGAGGGACCAGTGGGAGGAGGCCAGAGTTGGCAGGAGGGCGATCCTAAGGGGAGAGCCTCTACCCTGTGCAGGAAGGGCTGGCCCAGCCTCGCCCTCTGCAGGTGACTAACCACAGCCCAGGTCCCACGAAGTGGCCAAAGACTCCCTCTCCTAGGGCACACCACCATGTGGGCTCTGGGGTATTGCCATCCGCCGCTATAGCTCTCGTGGTCACCTGAGATGGAGCCATGGGTCACTGACAATAATCCCAGCTCCCCTCAGTGACTGCTCACCACATGGCCCTGGGCTGAACCTGGTACACACTCATCTGATTCCATCCTCCCCAACTCCTGGGAGGCCAAGATTACTGGTTCTACTTTATAGAGGGGGAAAGTAGAGACCCGGAGGAGGGATAACTTCCCAGCATCACACAGTGTAACAAGTGACCCGACCAGGCCTGGGTCCCCAGGGCCAGTGCTCTGTCTGTCCACCCTCCCTGGAGCCCACACAAGGCCCTGGCCATCTGGGATGGGGTGGGGTGCGGGTCTGCTGCCTCAGGGGCAAGTGCTGAGGAGGACCGCAGTCCCCCATGAGGACGAGGGGGCCCCACCAAGGCTGGACGGCGTGCTCTCCTCACTAGGAGATGAGCCAGGTGAGGGGCTTCAGTGCTGAGGTAGGTCCAAGGCCAGGCGCCAGCTGCTTCTTCCCAGCACATGCACTGGAAGGACTTGACCCTGTAATGCGCTGTCCCAAACCACCTGGGAATATTATGAAAACCTTGTGGAGAGAGCTCAGAAAGACCTCCTGCTCCAAGAGCCAACAACGATAGCTGTTGGGATGGTGACCTGCCTTGACTGGGCCAGACAGGGAAAGGCTCTCCCAGCTGGAGAAGGCCAGTGGATGGGGAGGGTGAGGGGAGAGGAGGCTTCAAGCAGGTGTACCAGGCTGGGAACCAGGTGGGCAGGGTCACCGTTGGTGGGCATTGTCCTTTGCTAAGTCTGGGAAGGGGGCAGCTGCCCACCACAGACTGTCAGGCTGAGGACATGCCTGGGGCCTGCTGCACCCTGTCCTGAAGGCAGGTGAGAAAGGAAAGGCCCACCCGTCCAAGGCAGCCAGCCCCATCCTTGCACTCTGCGGTGTCAGAGCCAGGAAGAGCCGGGGCTGCTCTGGGCCACCTCCCCAGGCAGCCCAGGAGGAGGGAAAGGGGTGCAGCAGCTTGCTTACCCGAGACTGCCTGGCTGAGGCACACTGCAGAAGGGGGAGAACACCCTGTTTGGCTTCTCCAGCAGAGCCTCTCCCTAGACTTCTGCTACTCCCACCCCTTCAGCTCTGATGTCTCCACGCACCTCAAAATTTCCAGGATCCGGGGTGCCTGGGTGGCTCGGTCCTGGGATCGAGCCCCACATTGGGCTCCCAGCTCGGCGGGAAGCCTGCTTCTCCCTCTCCCACTCCCCCTGCTTGTGTTCCCTCTCTCACTGTCTCTCTCTCTCTGTCAAATAAATAAATAAAATCTTAAAAAAAAAAAAAAATCGCAGGATCAGAACTGCATCTGACATAAAGCCTGGTAAGCCCTGTCCCTCCCCAGGCCCATGCTGCTCCTGTCTAAGGCTGAGGAGCCAGACTGCACAGGAGAGGACTGAGCAAAGCCTCTCCGCCTCCCTCACCCCTCCCTGGCTGGTGCTCACCTCTGGGCAGG